GAGAGAAAAAAAAATCCGGTCAGAGTCTTTCACACTGCTGCGCGTTTGGGTTCAAAATGTACTCCTCAGAGAAACAGATGCAGAAATGACACCCCGAATTGGTGCCTGAAACAAGACCCTTGTAAATAATTCAACGCACGTCTTGCCAACCCACAGGAATGCAACCCAGACACGAACTCCAGGTGAAGCAGACTTCTTACGGGTCAGTTCAACGTAGTCGCAGAGGATTTGCGGGTCAATGTGAATCGGTTCAAGAGCAGACGGGAGACTGACTTGGCTTATCAGTCTCAGAAACGATGGGTGAGATAAGATCATCCACTGTCATCCTTAATCAATGTGCTCCTCAACGGTGTGATGGACAGCACTGCCCTTGACTATCTGCTCCAACTACTTCCAGTAGACTTTTGGTACTCTGTTAGCAGATGATGTTGTGCTGTTGGAGGACTCATGCGAGGATCTAGAAAACTTGGTCGTTCATTGGGACATAATGGCGATGTTCCCGGGTGCACTATTATGTTTCTGCGTGGCTCATCTTCTTCCAATCGCCAAGTTATCATCTCTCCACCACAGCTTTGATCACAACAATATGATAATTTCTACCTTGCAAGAAAGCCTCCTCAAAACAATTGGGTATTTTAGACCTTTTACACCCATTGGACACAGTTACTATTCAGTTAACTGTGTACAATGAATGCCTCATTTTCCAAGTTACTCCCGCAAATTACAGCCCAACCATCTCATTTTCAGTCGATGATGCTGCACACATAATTTTGACGCTTGGAACTTCGAAAAAAAAACATTAATATTGCCAGGACACCGAGAGAAACTCCCTTCTTTTTTTTGCTAATAATGTCGAGAGTCTTTTACGTGCACCTAAGTATTCTTTAAAAATATTAGTATTTCACAAAAAGGTGCAAAGTAACAATAGGTGAAATGAACCGTACCAGAATTTAGACGGTGGAATTGTGAAAATACAATCTGCTGAATTGCCATGTAATATTAAATATTACACCCGGTTAATTTTTAGGAAAAATGTATTACCTTGAAGTATCACATATTACTAGATGTCTCAGAACACGAAGATAGCATTTTCCTTATTGTATTTCACTTACGATGTTGTCGGTTCACAGAATATACTGCATAAAATGGTGTGACTACGTGCACTTTGTGGTAAAGTTGTAGTCTGCAGAGCATAGCTGGGTTGAAAAATTGTTGGCAGGAAGCAGAAGACGATGCTTAAGGAGAAAAGACCGCAGTTCTTAATGGTAAAGTCAAGGGAGAAGAAAAAGGGTTGGAGGGGTCAAATGATCTAGACGAGTTTTCATTGGCAAAGAGAAGTCAATAGGGTCATGTAAGATATTGACAGGTAGAGATAATGTACATTTGACAGAGATCATGGCCAAAAAGTGAAAGAAAAGAACAGAGCTTGAAAATTAAAAGCACGTCATAAGCAGTTCAGAGAGAGGGAAAAAAAATCATAGGCAAACCGGTACTTCGAATACCAGGGATACACTCCCAACAAAAATAGTTAACGTTGTGTAAATTACAACACCAACAACAACAAGATATCATTTATAGAGCGCCTTTCACGTCGGGAGGACGTCCCAAGGCGCTGGACAGTTGGGTCAGGACCTGAGCAGGGGGGAAATGGTCAGGGTGAGGGGAGGGAAGGGAGGGAGCGAGGAGGGGTTAGAGAGTCGAGAGGGAAGCTGAAGGCACGGTCAAAGAGAAAGGTCTTGAGAGGGCGGCCCGGCCACCGATGGTAGGGCGGTTGGGACGGGGATGTTGAGCAGACGGAGCCAGAAGAACGGAGGGTACGGGCAGGTAGGTAGGGGGATAGTAGGTCGGAGAGGTAGGAGGGAGCGAGGCTGTGAATGGCCTTGTAGGTGAGGATGAGGATCTTGAATTCGATCCTCTGGGTGATGGGGAGCCAGTGGAGGCGAGCGAGGGCGAGGGTGGGAGCGATGTTTCAGAGGTGATGGAAGGCGGTGCCAGTTGTGGCGCAGAACTTAGTTCCTTCAGACTGAATAAGAATCAGCATTAAAACTGTATCTGGTAGCTCAGTGGTTAAAGCACTCGCCTCACAAGCGAGAGACCTGGGTTTGATTCCCGGGCAGGGCGAAACGTTAGGCAAGTTTTCTTACTCCACACACGTGTGTTCACCTAGCAGTAAATAGGAACCCGGTTGTTAGTCGATCGTCGGATCGCTTTTCTGGAAGTAATAATCCATTCAAAAAAACATAAGAATAATAACCTACAACAATGACCTAGATGAGGACATCGAACTTAATATATCCAAATTCGCGGAGGACACTAAACTAGGAGGGAGAGTAAACACCGAGGATGACATTAAAAAAATGCAATGAGATATAGATAGGCGAGGTGAGTGGGCAAATAGGTGGCAGATGAAGCATTATGTAGGGAAGTGTGAAGTCATCCACCCAGATGGCAAAAACAGTAGAGCAGATTGTTTTTTAGAAGGGGAGAGACTAGACAGTGTTAGCGTTCAGAGGGACTTGGGTGTCCTTGTACACCAGTCACAAAAAATGAGTTTGCAGTTACAGCAAGCAATTGGGAAGACTAACGGTATGTTGGCATTTGTTACAAAAGGGTCAGAATATAAGAGTAGGGAAGTCTTGCTGCAACTGTACAGGGCCCTGGTGAGACCGCACCTAGAGTACTGTGTACAGTTTTGGTCTCCTTATTTAAGAAAGGATGTACTCGCCTTGGAGGGGGTACAACGTAAATTCACTGGATTGGTACCTGGGATGAGAGGGATGAGTTATGAGGATAGGTTGAGCAATTTAGGACTATATTCTCTAGAATATAGAAGAATGAGAGGTGATCTTATAGAAACCTGTAAGGTTATTAAGGGGCACGACAGAATAGACAGTGGGAGACTTTTTCCCCTGGTTGGAGAAACTATAACCGGGGGTCACAGTCTTAAAATTAGGGGTAAACCCTTCGCACTGAGTTGAGAAAAAACTTCTTCACTCATAGAGTAGTGAATTTATTGAATTCTCTACCCCAAAGGGCTGTAAATGCTCAGTCCTTGAACATATCCAAGACTGAGATTGAGTCCTGTAGCTCAGTGGTTAGAGCACTCGCTTTGCAAGCGAGAGACCTGAGTTCAATTCCAGGAAGAGGGCGAAACCTTGGGCAAGTTTCCTTACTCCACACAGAGCCTAATAATAATCCCTCCAAAACCAAAAACAATAATAAATTGGTCATTTTCAATCTACGACTGTTTGCGGGACATCGCTGTGCGCAATTGGCTGTCGTGTTCGCCCACAAATATACAGTCAATTCACTTTACAGTGTGTTCTGTGAAGCGCTTTGGGACGTCCTCCCGACGTGAAAAGCACTATATCAAATGCAAGGATTATTATTATTATTTTTATAGATTTTTGTGGATAAAGGGATTAAGGGATATGGGGATAAGGCGGGTGGGTGGAGTTAGAATAGATCAGCCATGATCTTATCGAATGGCAGGGCACAGGCTAGAGGGGCCGAATGGCCTACTCCTGCTCCTAATTCTTATATGTTCTTATGTTATTCAATCCACGACTGTTTGTGGGACACAATTTTGCCCACAAAATATACAGTCAATTCACTTTACAGTATATTCTGTGAAGTGCTGTGAGACGTCTCGAAAACGTAATGAGGCGCTGTATCAAATGCAAGGAATATTGTTGCTATTATTCAAGCGTATGAGGAATAAGTGCTGACATTCTGACAGAGCAGGAAGCAAGACTGAACGTGAGCGAACATCCAGTCCAATCCATTCGCATCAACTGACTACATCACTAATAGAAGTAGCAATCTCACAAAGCTATAGATGAAAAAGAACATAAAAGTACACCACCAGTAAGCTGAGGAATTCTGATCCATCTTGGGTATTTCAAATCAGTAAATTATATATAAGATTGCTAGAAAACATGTAGCCTTGATTCCAATCTGTTGTCATGCTTTCAGTTTGTGTTTGTAAGTAGACGACTGGATGCTTTAAATAAAATGAAGTTATTTATCAAGTTAAAACCAAATCAATCATGCGAGGTATATAGATAGCGAGCTGGTGATCATTAAGGAGGCACCAGATTTGATTTTCAAAAATGTGTGCATTCCTGTAAATTACCTGCCAGTAGTTTTGCCATATATCCTGAAGCATTTTTTACTCAGTTGTGCGGAAGGCACTTGTAACATAAATATTTTTGTCACAAAAGATTTCATTTTCTTCTTTCCCCCCTTAAGAGTCTGGAGACTCGATTTTTTTTTTAATATAGTATACAGATTCAGAGATCGCACTTATTTTTCCAGCATAACATACCAACACAGAGGTTAAGGAGTTACAAATCCCACCTTGGATCTTTATACTTTTTTTTTACTACAACCAGCTAATCCGAGCAACGCAGCTTCTATACTGTTCGTTTGGTGGCACATCGCCGTGTAAATGGAGGTTGAGCCCGTGTGAAATGTCCTGGAGCCTCTGTCCCAACACCTCTATAAACAAGGTGCTTCCATTTGCACCACACGGAATAAACCCGGTGTTTCCTAGCGTTAAAAAAAAACACACTAACACCCGACCTTTGTGCTCAGAGCATATGTGAAGCCGCACGGTACACAGATCTCCAAGTCAAGGTTGTTTTATCCACAGACGTGTTCTGTGTAGAGTGATATAGAGCAGAGAGTATAAAATTGGGATTCCCACTCCACTGCTGGGTATACATAGGTTTTGATTCCCAGTACTTGGAAGGCACAAAGCACAGGTGCAAACTCATATTGACCTTTAGTTTGGTAGGGAACCATAGACTGGAGTCACGGACTGTTTTGCAGGAATGTGCTGAAAATCCTGAGCACAACTCCGCGAGAGCCAGTTTTTGAATGAAAGTATTGAGTCCCACGGTTTCAAAGCAGAGTATGAAACCAGTTTAAGCTGAAAGTCCTTCAAGTGCTACTCCTGTATGGGCAAGGGCAACAACACTGTCATCAAGATGTCTTACCAAGAGTTGTTTGTTATGAAGAGGCAGTCTATCGGACACCGATGCAAAGGACGAAGAGTGACGGGATTTGAAAGCCTCCTCCTTTTTGTCCTTAACCTGCACAAAGTAATTAAAAAAAAAGTTTAGAAGACTTCTGAAACCCCCCGATTCAGTGAATAGTAAAATTCTGCCTTCGATGTATAATTTAGAGGTGCGTGTCACAGTTATCAAGCATTTTCCTCCTAGCTTGTAAGAATGCAAATGATAATGAATGCCACTGCTGGCACATTGATTGCTGGACAAAGTTAGGTTAACTAGCTGTCTTCCTCTTAACAGACTGGGAGGAAACTCAGAGGCAGGATCTCGAAGTGGAAACCAGAATACTTGGTCAGTGAGTCAGTGACGAGAGGGCATCAATTTTAGATAGATAGTGAACGAGCAAACGGGGAGGACAGGAGATTATTTTTTCCCACATACTCCGGCCAGGAGTGTTGATTGAGGCAGAACGCATTTCAGCTTCCAAAAGGGAACTAGATAACAACGTCTCTTGGGAGACGGTTGAAGCAGGAAATGTTGATTCCTTCAAACACAGATCAGATAGCTTTCTTTTGGGAAATAACATGATGGGATACAGCACATAGGGAGTTTGGTCCATATGTGCGGGCGATCGCCAGGCAGGTGGAAGGCGAACTAAATGGACCTTGTTCTTTTTTCGTCTAGCATTTCTTATGTTCTGGTGTTCATTTGCAGAGCGTTCTTCTATCAGGTAGCGTCTTGGAGCATTTTAAGATAAAGGGAGTGAGTGACAGGGGTTTAAGGAAAAGGCAGGTATATGGGACTGAAAGGATTGCTCTTAAAGGAGCCGGCGCAGACACGATGAGCGAAATAACCATATAAAAATTTATATGGTTCTACAGCATACACCTCAATACTTATCAGCATTGGGCTACAGAGAGGGGGAATGGAGCAACTGCCGCATTCACTTTTAGTGCATTTCCCTTCATATTATGAACCGCATGTTTCAGTCTTTTTAAGTGCAATTTCAAAACCTTCTTGCTGAGCTGTGCAGAATGAACGATCCCCGATTGCAGACTGATCCTGGAGACTGATTGTATTGGTATGAGTTCCAGAATTAACTCAATATTAAATTAATACATTCAGATTGAAACGTGGAGGCGACACTTTGACCATGTAATTTTATGCACTTTTAAATAAATAAGGAAGGGGTCTAAAGAAATCCATGCATAGGACATAGTGGGATTATTTTTTGTTATAAACTCTACAATTCGGTTTCCAGAATTAATCTAATATATAGATATATGCCACAATACATGGTGTTTGCATACAATATTTTATTTACAATATATTTAAATATGCTTTAAGTATTTCTACTACAACAAAGATGATATGTCATTAAATGTATTATGGAATATATTTAAGGTGCTTGTTACACCAATGATTCTTCTGTTTAGGATGGAGATTCAGGTAATCTGAAATGCCAGATTTATTATTGCTGACCTGATTTAAAAATCAGGAGCAAAGTACATAGTGATAAAATGTTCCATGTAATCAGTCCCCAAGGATTATTTAGGGCTTCACAAAATAACAGGAAAGCTTGCCGAGTACAAATGTTGATGATATAATTTCCTGCATTATAATGAAACAAGCTCTACGAAATTGCATTACTTAATTTCTGGCATTTATGAAAAATAGATTGTTTGAGAAATAACCAAATCATTTGACTTCATTTTCGACCAAAAGGAAATAATCTAAATGCAAGGCAGCATTTCCAACCTGATCCAAATGGACTTCTTATTTGTGCAATTGAGTTTATTGCTATAGAAATGGCATCATGTCCTCCACGTCAGTTACTCTACAAGGAAACATTCTCCACGTCTAAACAGCGTCCCACTTGTGTAGTACTGTTTTCAATGACAAACACCATAACATAAATCCAGCGAGAGGCTTCTACACTATTAAATGTTCCTTCCCTGTTTTGTTCCTGAGAGCATTAAATAAAGCGAGAACAGGCCATTTGGCCTATTGAGCCCTAAATTCTCAGCCCATGTCCAGTTTTCTCCATCCATTTAATCTACCGAGAGAAAGGAAATCAAGTAACTTCATCCGTACTTATTAACTAAAAAATGGTGACCTGCCCAATAGATAATCTGCAATTCTGACAAAGGGTCGTCGACCTGAAACATTAACTCACTTTCCTCTCTCCATAGATGCTGCTTGACCTGCTGCGTGTTCCCAGCGACTTCTGTTTTTATTTCAGATAATTCTCCCAGTACACACTAATATACGCATTATGCATATATATATAAACAAACATACACCTTTGTTCCTCACATACTTCATCGTGTGCATGCATGCACTAGAAACAGTCAGTCCTCTGGAATTATATAGGGACCTGTGCCATTTCCAACCAACCAATTTTTGTTTCCCCAGGAGTCGATCGGAACAGCATCGAGTGCTTTTTTACGAGGAATTGCCTGTTCACTGCTCTGTAGGGGGGTATATAATCGAATTTACCTGAAGATTAATACATTTGAACCTGGCCTCCAAGTTAAGCTCTCGCAGTTTACGTGAAATAGTTTCAATAAATCCTGGGCTTTCCAACACTCTCTCAGATGCTTCAATATCCCGTTGAAAGCGAGGTCCCTAAAATTACACAGAGTATTTCAAATCTAGGCCCAGACTTCCATTTAGTATTGGCCTGTGAGATGATTTTGACATATGCAGAATCGCAGAAAATTCTTCTATTTAAACTTTATTTGGAAGTTGGTTGCTTTTACTAACGGATGTCCTCCCATTGAGAAGGATCGCTATACTAATGTAATTTCTTCTTGCTGTTGAACTTTGGAACGTGGGATTCCAACTAAAAGCTGAATTTAAGGATGTTCCACAGTGCCTTGTGCTTTCAGACCAAATGGTCTTTTAGGAGAAAACTCCACACAATATCAGGCTACGGTCATCCACAGACGGGCAGAAAAAACATTTACTTATAGTCAGATGTTCTCCAGTCGCACACTGGTTTTCAATTTGTTTCTATCGATAAAGAATTTTATGTTGACTGAAAACCATCAGTGAATGATCTATAATCATAATATTTTCCCTTCTTCACCTCAGTCAATAAACACGCTTTCATCATGTACACAGTTATCCCTATCAGAATGCACTGACATTCCTATGAATGATTTTGCCACTATTAATTTACTCGTTCACTTCCTTACTCTCTATGCTGCTGCATTGAAATGCATCAGTGTCACTTTCAGGGATAACTGAAGCATTTGTCTCCTCTCGTTCAGGATAACACAGGAATAAGAATTGGGGCAAGGGTGGTTAATTGGTTGAGGTACAGATTAGCCATGATCTTATAGAATGGCGGAACGGGATCTAGTGGCTGAATGGACTACTCCTGTTCCTACGTTCCTCTGTACGAATTGGAGTTTCAGCAGCACATACGTTTCATGCGTTAAAAATAGAGGTTCCACATTTCCTGTCAACACTAAAAGTAGCAATTAGTTAAGGGGTTAAAAAAGCCTTGAAAACAGCAATAAAGACAATTAAAATCGATTCTGGGAACAAGTGAAACACGTAAATCTTCCAATTTTCCTCTGCTTCTGAGGCTAACCAAGTAAGGGTTATTTTAACACGATCCGAGTTTGTGACACAAATGTGGTCTCTTCCCAGAGTGGTGCAACTTTGACGACAACCTTCGCGACATTCACATTAAAAAGAAATCTCAAAGGGCTTTACAGAGTCTTTTGAAAATATAGTGTTATTAGCATTGTCACTATTTCCGAATCAAAACAGGCTATGAAAAATCAAGGTTATTTGCACTGATATAGAGCTCTGTGTTTGGTGTGATGTCTCTGTGAGCCAAGGAACAGACACACATACCCATATACGTACACATGATATTCATATTTATATTTATATATAATTATCTCAATGGCATCGAATTCAAGTAGTTAATTGGTTGAGACATGGTTCATGCACAAAATCATCTATATCAGCATTAACCATCTCATTTGAGACAAACATCAACCTACTAAAATGATGAATCATCCGTCTAATCTTAATCGTGCACAATATTTCCATCTGCAAATTACACCAATTAAAATAATTACAGTTTGTGATAAAATAGCGGTAAGGTGCAATAAAAATTACTGAATTAGAACACAACTGTTCCGTGGTTGATGTCGTTCATGGGGATGGAGGCAGACATCAGTTTGGCTCCATTTTTAGCACTCTCACGTCTGGGCCTGAAGGCTATAGGATTAATGTCTACGTTGAGATTTGAACTCAGTCTCGGCTGACTCCTCATTGTAGCACCGGGCAAGCACTGCATTGTCTTATATATTTGAACTTGCATTTAGTTGAGGTCTGATCTACCTTTCCTCAGTTTAATGTTAAGGAACGCAGGGCAACATTCTCTCAGTGTTGTGGTTGATAATAATCTAGATTGATTGTTCATTGACCTATTCTCTGTTTGCAGTAGCTCGAAGCTGTATATGGCTGCCTTGTTTGCCTACAAATAAACAATCGCTGCACTTGACAGCAATTATCTGTGAAGTGCTCTTAGCTGTTTCACAGTGATAAGTCGCTATATAAATGGAAGTGTTTTGTTTCTTAAATGAACGCGCAGTTGCAGGTGTGAGCAAATAGTAAAAATAGACCCAACTTCTCCAATCTCTCCCCATTCCTGGTATAATTTTTTAAATAAATCTCCTATGCAGCTTCTTTAAGGCCTGAACACGTTTCCTAAAATGAGATAAACTGAACGCAGCACTCCAATTGCAGCCTCACGAATGATTTGTCCAGGTGTGAGAGTGCAACCAAATAAGCCAACAATAACAACAAATCACATCTGTATAGTGCCTTTCACATTGGGAGGACGTCCCAAGGCGCTTGGGCAATCATTGTCAGTTCAACCCTTTTCATAACCAGAGATAAACTACAACAACAACAACTTGCATTGATTTAAAGCATTTCTCAACCCGGATGGTGTCTCAGAGCGCTTGCGAAACTCAATACCAACACTCACCCACATCCCCTTTAAATCCCCTCTCTGTTTACAGTGGTAATTCATTAGCCTCACACTATTGGATGATGCCAGATTGACTCGGATATTGCCAGAGCTGTCAGCTTATTGCTCTCACCTTAGACAAGTTAGGTTAGGCCTTTTTTCATTAAAGAAGAGTTCGATAGGGTCAACATGAATAGGCTATTCCTGCTTGTTGGGGAAATCCATAACCTGGGGGCACAAATATAAGATAGCGACTGGAGGATCTGACGGAGAATTTAAGAGGAACTACTTCACACAGAGGGTAGTGAGAATATGGAACTCACTGCCCGAAGCAGTGGTTGAATCAGATGGTGTAGATATATTTAAGAGGAAGCTAGATAAGCACATGAGGGAGGGAGAAGGGAATAGAAGGATACGGGAGGGTGTAAGGAGTGGCTGGAGACTCATGGAGAGTATAAACACCTGCGCTGAAAGGTTGCGCTGAATGGCTGCTTTCCGTGCTGTACAGTTGTTGTAAATCTACAAGGCTATTTGGTCCTTCCCCGACTGCTTTTTTTTTCTGATTAGTGCCTTAATGTTGTCAACCCCTTGTAGCGCCAATTTGCCGGGAGATTATAACTGTATTCATTGATCGAGCAATTTGATGCCCAATTCATCCTTCAATAGCCGTTGCAACAGACGAGAGAAAAAACGATGAGGATTATAAATCACAATCTTTATACATGTGTTTAAATTCCCTCTTTATACACGTGTTTACACATGTCTAATGCAACTGGACCCCCCCTCCCCCCCCCCATCAATGAATATATTCTTTTGGAAATTGATTTTTAATCAGACTATTTGGTACTGTTGGTTTCAACACGTTTGTGAAGTCTTTTTCTCATACTGTAGTTTTATTTTTGCCGTCGCTCTGTTTTACAGATGTTTTGGGGATCTGCCACTATACACAGATGTCAACATTGGTTTGAAAGACAGCTTTCGAGTAAATGCTACTGAGTGGATTTTAATCTTATCCAGTGATTAGCAACCTACTTCCTCTGGTTGCTTTCAATTTTGTTCCCTGTAACCTTTAAATGTGATCTGTAATGTTTAATTCTGAGACAAACAGCTATTTGTTACGAGCTTTCTCTATGGCAAACAAAGCAAACCTTGGCTGTGTTGCAGAAATATATTACCGCGAGCAAGAAAATCAATGTGAACTTTAAGGGCTCTTCAATTCAAAACAATTACATCTTAATGGCCGTTTCAATTTAAGGAAAGGTCTTCCATTGGTTAACTATTTCTGGCTATGCTGCAGCGCAACCGAACAAACACAAAACGGCACAAATGGCAAACACAAAACTACTGCTGGGAAATAAATCTGGGACATAGTAAAAAATAAAGGGGCTGTTTTTCTATCATCACAAGTTTTTTTTTTACAAATTCTGACAGAAAGGATATTAAACGATATTAAAATAATATTAAAATAAAAGCTAGGGCACGTGCAAAGTGCAGCTACTTACAACTTTAAAGTTCCCTAAGAACCCCTATTGTGATTTTTTTTTTCCCCCGTTACTTATCAAAATCATTTTTTGGCCCACTGTTTCTTTTTCCGATTGTGTCGCTGCCAGGCAGAACACGACACTTAATTTATGATTATTCCCATTTAGTGAACTAGTTTGAGATGCTCATCTGACGTGAAACGCGCTCTGTAAGTGCAAGCCGTTGTACGGAATTAATATGTCGGCTAAAATTGGAAAATTGGAAAAAAAAGCAATTGAGTTTAATTCCAAGCGACAACCTGCTTTTAACCAAATTATCTATCAAGACCCAAGCTTACAATGTCTGCATACATTGTAAGTTTGGGTCTTCAAACTTCTTCTTCAAAGAAAAGTTTAAACGCTCATAGAATTCGGAGGCTAAATATTCTCATGGTCTCAGCCTGAAGACAATTTAACATTCAAATAAAATGTAAGATTGTGCAGAATTTTGGGGAACATTCAAATGTTCAGTCTTAGTTAGGAAGACGGTTTTCTCCAATTATTAAGAGCTGTACTGAACCACCTCAGGACCTTGTTTTAAACGGTAATAAGTGCAGCCAGCTCTTTAATTACATTTAAAAAAAAAGACCAACTTTCAGAGTTCTGCCATTCCTGTTTGCTTAACGGCCGGATTTAAAGCGATGTGCAGTGGAAAAAGATAAATCGGACCATGGTATGCCTTTGGCGTGAAAAGGCACTGCTCGTAGGAATATCAACTCAGCACGGGTTAATCATGTGCATGTAATATTTGTCATCTTAATTACTGCATGAAAGAAAAGAACTCGGAGTGTTAGTTCCTTAATTTGTCTAAGTTTGCCCACGAAGGCAATTACTTACGCGTCCAACATTTGGCATTGTTATGCATTCTGTGTAAGTGATCAAAATGATATCTCTGTTTTAATAGACTGAACCCTTAACATCTTCCATTATAAATCAATGTTCAGCTAGCCTTTCACTCGCACTAAATAGAAGCCTTCGCATAAAGGCTAAGGGTTAGGAAATCATGGAGCAAATACGGTAGTTACTTTTAGGCACACTCCTGTCATTCCATAATAGGCTTAATAATCATCCCGCTTTCAACCATTTGACCACATATGTCAATATTATGATGTCCAATTACAGTCTCCATTATGTAGCATTAAGACATTTAAAGAGCGAATTATAATTTTATTTCCATAAAAAGTACATTAGTCTGAAGTGCCTTATATTTAATGTGGGCACTGATCCACGGCAGTTACATTACATCCTCTGGAACTTTTGAAGGGCATGTTCAGCCATTACTTCCTTTGACTGCAGTCTACTTTTTCTTCATTGATCACTTTTCCTGTAAAGTCTACCATAGATCAACCGCCAGTCAATTGCACCCCATTAATTGTCTGTTAAAGTACCATCTCACATCTGTCGCTTAATTGATTCCTTTACAACCACAAACTGTTCTTTATACTGAATCGCTGAAGTTTCTTTTTAACAGGCATTTTTCTTGTCTCACGTTTCCTTTTTTTTGTCAAACCAATAGTGTAAAATCAGCAAATTTCTGTCAAGACAGCTTACCCCATGCTTTTATTGTACTTTGTGTTTTCTTTGTGTGCAGAATCTCCCCTAAAAAGTACAGTATCGATCTGTATTCAGGACCATCGTTACATTTGTATAGCGCCTTTCACGTCGGGAGGGCGTCCCAAGGCGCTGGACAATCTGTGTTTCGGACTCTAATTTTCATCCTAATAGGTTACCATTCAACGAGTGTCCTCCCGAATCTTTCCCTGATGGTCATAACTCGGGTGTGAGCTGTGACAGTGATCCTCAGCAGGCTATTCGGTTGCAGTCGGGTAGAATAACGACAACAACTTGCATTCTATATAGCGCCTCTCACGCAGGATAGGGTCCCAGAGCACAACTCCAAGCCGGTGGGAGGAGGAGGAGGAGGAGGAGGAGGAGGAGAAGGAGCTTACCGTTGGCATGGTCGAATAGGAAGATTCTGGACATAATGAGGAAGAATTGCTGTAGAGTGTAAATGGTACAGTGCTAGTTATCGCTCAGTGTTGCTCTAATGACGTACCTGGTAATGTGCTGGGCCGGGTATCACCAAATCCTGCTTGGTCAACAAGGAATGCATCCGTGGAGCTGATGATCCGAATCCTCCTCTTATCGAGCTAAATTCGAAAGCCTTCTTCAGGGCGCTGCGAGCAAGACTGTAATGGGAGATGTTGTAAGATGCCGGACCTGCCGAATCACAAACGGTGACAGCATATCTCAGCCGACGGTCCACGTAATAATACTACTGCGAACAACAATAATAAACCTTGCATTTCATACAGCGCCTCATCACCTCACCGAGACATCTCGAAGCACTTCGCAGGATATGCTGCAATAAAATGCCGTGGATGAACTCCCTTCTCTTTTTGAGTAGCGCCATGGGATTTTTATATCCACCTGGGACCTTGGCTTCACGCCTCATCGAAAGGTAGGACACGTCCAACAATGCCGACTGAATCGGGAGGGGCAAATCTAGACCATTATGGGTTCCAAGTCCAGACTTGGGGTTTGAACCTACAACCTTCTGAATCAGAGGCAAGACTGCTTACCAACTGAGCCACATCCCTCCGCAATCATTGCTCTGACTTCCCGAACTGAAACTCCCCCATATAATGCCAGCGTCCACGTTAATACGAGCTCCACCGTGTTCACAGGTTCGTAAAGCAGCTGAGGCACCATTGGAACATTGCTAGTTGGGGCTGTGGAGTCCGAAGTGAGGGGGAATCATAGCTTAAATCATTAGCAGTGAATCACAAATAGAACTAAGATGGCGAGCGCAAGTAAGTCACATCGACCCTCAGAAACTAAGCTCAAATAGGATATGTGCGTGCCTAGGCCTGGCACACTGTCACCAGAAGGAGAATTTACTTGGGACTCAGTGTTATTAATCACTCCCATTAGAAAACTGCGCAATTTAGATGCCACTGTTTTTTTTTCCCGTAGCCAGAGAGAACCGTTTTATTTAATATTGTTTTAAAGGTTAACCAACGGGGGGCTATTCACCACCGTACAAAGTGGAAACCGGGTTTTTTTTTCAGTGCATTTCCCATCAGCGATGTTATTGATTTCCTTGTCAGAAACAAGACTGAAAAAGACCAGGGAGTTTCTTGAAGAAAAAAATATATATTTTTAAATGCACATGACACCTCGACCTTTATATCTTCATTTGGGATCTGTTGCCCTGAACAATGGACCCGAAGACCATCCATTTTTAAACAGTCAACATAACGACCAATCCTGCCATCAAGCTCCGCTGACATCTTAACGTTCCTCTTTGCTAAACTGAACGATTCTTGTAGCAGAACGTCTGTGGTGTAAAATTACACCCGTCGAAAATGTTGCCGTCTCTTGACAAAATGTGCTTAGAATGGGATTTCTGCAGCAAAGACAATAATGTGTAACGTTACTGACCACTGGACTACCTCCACAACCTGAGCTCGGCAAGGAACCAAACGGAACTATGTCACTTCAAAAGTCACAAAGCATCACCAGAATAATAATCACCTACATCAATCGGTCTCTTATTTGCACTTTCACCCCTCATATTCCTTCTTACATTTGATAGAGCACCTTTCATATCAGGACAACATCTCATAGTGCAGTACAGGATTCACTGTAAAGTGCAGTGACTGAGTGTGTTTTGCGGGGGTTAACTTGGGCAATGTTCCACAGACGGCCATGAAGTGAATGATTAATTCTATCTGAGGGATTTTTGGCCAGGACACCAGGTAAAACTCTTTTGTACAGTCCCACGGGCTCTTTAAAGTCCACTTGAACAGGCAGATAGGACCCTGGATTATATATTACAAAGAAAAGATAACAGTGTAGGACATAAATAATACTAATATTGTAAAATGATACAGGTATATTCTTTACCTACAGCACCCGATTTAACAGATAAGGTTAAAACAACAGTTGCCAAAGAAATTGTTATCTTAACCTTATGGCAATTGACGTTTTAAGGCACACACGGTCAAGTCAAGTGTAACTAACTACCTGAATGCCGGCAGGGTGGGATTGCATCCACCTAAACACAGAGGCTTGTGACTTCAGGATAGGGGCCAATAAATGAAATGAACAATATTCACTGCAGAAAACACAGCTCGTAAAATGGAGAATACAGCTGAAGCCAGTAAAAACTAAAGCTAAATTTGATAAACGATTTACTACGTGGGCATAGCCTTCCAACCCCAATTTAAGAGACACCCCAGAGACTTTGAAACATTACGGGTTGGAAGCTAATGTCCTAGATATACTTCAAGTATCAAAGCAACGCCATATTGTCCCTAGCCAAAAACTAAACATGGGTCGTAGATACATTCCGGGTATTGTGATGAGAAGTGAATTGGTGTTTATATTATGGTTTTAGTTACGTTTGGTATGCTTATGCTTCATAGCGACTGTCAAACTGACCTGTAGAAGAACTACAACGCTAATTGAATTGAGCTGAGTTGCAGAATCTCTATCTGAGCTTGACGGATGTTACAGGGAGCTGGTATAACTCCGAAATAAAATGTATTCAGGAAATGCCAGTATATTTTGCTTTGTATCATAAAGAGTTAAATTGGCTAAGAGAGAAGTGAACTTGTTCTGTGGCTTGTTAATGTATTGGTCAGAGTCAGCCTGAGGCCCCAAAGCCGGTCTGATTAAACAACCCTCAGGAAGGCAAACATTTGCAGACCTGCATGTATCAGCCTAATGTAAAAAAAAACATTGTTTTAAAAAAAAAAGGATAGTTGAGCCAAACTCGGGCAGTTGTCAGTTCGAGTTAGTGAGAGAGAGAGAGCATGTTTCTCGCTTCTCCAGGAAAGCAGACCAGCCACCCGAGGTTCTGCCACTCAAGACACTTTACTTGAACGTCCAAGGAAGTAGTAGAAAGAAGAACAGACTTCGATGATACAAGAACATGACTAGAAGAGATTCTATACCCGCCATCGTTAGTGTTCCCAAGCATGAGAAGCAAGAGAAGTTCATCTGCTGCCTGTGAAATTTGATATGGTCACCATAGTGACATGCTGTACGTCAACAACAACTTGGATTTATATAGCGCCCTTCACGCCTGACGGCATCTCAGAGCGCTTTACGCGAGCATGATAGCCTAAGCAACCCCGAATTGTGCATTGTTTTGCCTTAGTAAGTAAATGAGCTATTAGGCTCTTTATCAGGTTCCTCTGTTCTCGGGTTCCCGACTTTATATTTTGGTGAAAGAGAACAAGTTCGGAGTCCTGTAGCTCAGTGGTTAGAGCACTCGCTTTGCGAGCGAGAGACCTGAGTTCAATTCCAGGCAGAGGGCGAAACCTTGGGCAAGTTTCCTTACTCCACACAGAGCCTAATAATAATCCCTCCAAAACCAAAAACAATCATAAATTGGTCATTTTCAATCCACGACTGTTTGTGGGACATTGCTGTGCGCAATTGGCTGCCACGTTCGCCCACAAATATACAGTCAATTCACTTTACAGTGTGTTCTGTGAAGCGCTTTGGGACATCCTCCCGACGTGAAAAGCGCTATATCAAATGCAAGGATTATTATTATTATTACTATAAGTTTCTCTTTTCTGGCCACCCCTTTTTTGTCCCAGGCTTCAACAGAGTGGTTAATTCCACTGTTTGCTGTGCCTTAAAATCCAACAAAGATCCAACGGCACTGTTCGAAAAGAGAAGGAGGTTTCTCCTGGTGACCAGGCCAAAAATTTTCCAAACTTGTTCCATGACTGAAACGTTGCTGCTTGCAAACTGACGGTAACAGTCACTTACAAATACACTGAAGGATACTCTGTGAAGCCATTTGAGGCATTTTCAATGTGATAAGATGCTTTATTGTGGAGTCCTGGAGCTCAGTGATTAGAGCACTCGCCTCGCAAGCGAGAGGACCTGGGTTTGATTCCCTCGATGCGATATAATGTGGAGAGAGAAATGTAAAACAGTCTGTGTTTCTAGCAGTGAAGCAACATTAAAGACAATCTGCCTTCTCCATCATTAAAAATACAACAGTAACCCAAACAATAAACCCATGTGATAAACTCCCAAAACCTGCCCACGTCTGTGGATATGCGCCTCTCTTTGCGTCTGTGTGTGTGCGCGTGTCTCTCTCTCTCTCTGTGTCTATGCGTGTGTCTCTCTCTGGGTCTCTGTCTCTGTATCTGTGTGTGGTATCAGGCCTTGAAAGGCAAGAGTCGGTGAGCTCATGCAGCCTCGCTCGTGTTCCTCTCCCCACAGAGCCCCTCCTCCCCCCCCCCCCCCCCCCCCCACCCAAAAGAAAATTGGGCCACCCAGTGTTTTGTTAAAGAAGCAATTAATATTTCTTTCAGCAACAATCTAATACGTATTTTTCCTCACGTTTAGTTTTGATCAATAAAGTGTAAAAAAATGTAGGTTGGCAGTAAGGTGGACCTCAATGGCACCAATCAAATCCCCACCATTTTTCAGAAAAGCTTTCGGTGCAATTTTCCACAAAATTTTCAAATGTCCCCGCAATTTTTCCAAAACATTTCCACACTTTTCTATTGGTGTTATCATAGCTCATTACTTCAACCCTGACCATCAACCTCATGACTCTTCACTGCATTGTCTATAGGGCCTGACCAGACCAGGTTGAGTGACTTCTGCGGATCTGAACTCAACTGCTTTGGAAATATAGCCCAATATCCCATTCGTCCTGTGGCATCCGACTCCCAATTTTAATCAGACCCTTTCACAGATTTATCGCATCTCGTGTCAGATTTAACCGGTTATTATCAGTAATAGAGGAACAGATCCGATCGCCTTTCCGAGAACGTGATTTGAGTATTTTCTTATATGAATTACAAACCCGGTTCACTCATGCTCCTGAAGTCCGGTACGAACCGAGCTGCAGTCAGGCCGAACGGACTGTTTTGTTTTCCCGATAGCCTCTTCAAGCTCTGCAGAGCCGTGCGTGGATCATTGTATGCGCCAGGCGCTGGAGTAATCGATTTTACAGCTTCAAATCTCTGGTGAAACAGATGGAAGGTTGGTTTAATACAAGTTGCGGACTCGCAGAGTGTTAAGTAGCTTCCAGAACCACACAAAAACGTACATGCTTCAAAATAAATGATGTATGAATGAGGTGTGTGTGTGGTGTGTGTGTGTGTGACCGGGGGGGCGGGGTGGGGGAAGGGGAATTTGGTAAAGTCTGAGGAATAATTGCATTGTTAGAAGCCCAATATGAAGTGGTGACTATACAGAGGATTGCACACCACCAGTAATATAACCTATAAGTATACAAATATTTCCAAGCAGAGGCTTGATTTCACTCAAATCTGTGTAACGTCAATACCCTTCAGATACGGAACTTCACATGATTGAAATTCAGAATTGACCATTAATGCAAGAGAAATAAAACTTAAGCAGTCAAGTATCAGAACAACACGTTCCAGAGCACATTCAAAGACATGTTGAAATGGTCAAAAGAACGATTCGGATAAGGTAGATCCTTAAGACCATTATGCTTCCAGAATACCTGTCCTGCCATCCTCCTATTGCAGCATCAAGCTGTCACTTAAATGAGTCTCGTGTCCTAGTCCTTCTAGGTAACCAGTTTCGATCATTGATTGCCCTCAAGTGTTGATTAATTCCCTCAATATGACAGTCTGTCAATGCAATTCAAATCTGCTTAGACTCTCTGCAGATGCAATTCATCCTATGGATGTGTTGGTTTTCACCCACGTGAGCCTAACCTCAACAACAACTTACATTTCAAGTGGGATTTTGGTTGAAAAGAAAACAAACATTTTTCTGCATCGTGAACTTTGATACCCACCTCAGCGTTAATAAAATCTGCCCTCGGATGAGATGGCTGACAGAACACGAGGCTGAGAAACATAAAGGCCCATTTGCAGTAAACAATAAACAACAACTTGCATTTATATAGGGCCCTTCGCATGAGGTAGCCGCACAGAGAGCTTGATAAAACAACAAACAGTAATCCTGTATTTGATGTAGCGCCTTTCACGTAGGGAGGACATCTCAGAATACTCCATTAGGATATACTACCAAGTGCAGTAACTGCACATCTTGTAGGAGATGCTGTTCAGAGGCGGAAGGCCTTATTAAGAATAGTCAAGCTGCTTCATTCTGCATCCAGTCGTGCAATCAGACAGTGTTTCACACGGAGGGGGGGGGGGGGGGGGCTGTGCAATGAGAAAGTTTTCCACGTTCCAGTGTGAACAATCCTCATTTCAAGAAGCAAAGAATTCACGAAAGTAAAAAAAAAGAAGGGTATTAACGGGGAACCGCAGTCAGCAGCAACAACATCATGACAAAAGCATAACACCCTCAGGATCTGAACAATAGAGTGTGTTTTTTTTAAAAGTATCAGTAAAGCGCTGCTGGAACTCTTATCGGCTGTGAGATATGTTCTATTTCGTGCAAGTGAGTGGCAATTTCAGAGGCCGATGATTTACATCAAAAAGACACATGTAAAGCTTTTCTAGTATTAATTCATAGGTTATACATCTACGGATTCGACAAATGGCGCAGATTGCACCAGTAAACCATATCCATTTTTATAAAGAATATCATTAAGTATGTCTGAAAAATACCAGTCTGGAAGAGAGGATGAGGGAAACTCTCATAGATCTCAAGCAAAAAAAGAAAAATAGGCTGGGCTTTCATTAAAAAAAAACAAATCATGCTGATCCAGCCACAAAGGCAATTTGTGGTCGAAACACTTGATATTTTAACTTCCTTTAAATCGTTGCATTCGTCACTCTAGAATGAAGATGGCAGTTCTAGTTCAGTGTGAATCATTTACACTGACGTAGGAGTAAAGTAAGAAATTGCAGTGAATAGTGATCAAATACTTCACATACTGTAATAATCCTGTGTTACAGGGCCATGGGGTGGGAACTGTCTGTGTAGGGCACCAAGGCAGCAATATAAAGGGTTTGCTAAATAAGTTTCAGAGACATCGGGCACTATTTATGAACCTTTGAGGAATTAAATGTTTAGTGTGTGATCCATAGGTCTCACATGAGCGAGAATTTCTCTTCTGAGGTTTACATTATGTTCTCCGTTGCTGTAATAATAAATCAATCTCTCTTGTAGACCTTTACTTGATAATAAACATTTCCAGTTTGGAGCTTTTCTTTAAATATTCTTTGGAAGTTTATCAATGGGACTAAGTCTTTCTTAAGTCATAATGAAAATCTAAGCTTCAAACGTAACTGACATTGATTTCATAAAAACTAGAGGATTTTGAGAGGCTGATTCTAGTCTGTACCTTAGCATTAAGTGCCATCTGTTTTACATCTGACCTTCATAACTGAAGTCCTTCATCCTGATAAATCTCCTTTGCAAACTCTCCAATGCCTTGACATCATTCCTAAAGTCCGGTGCCCAGAACTGAACACAGTCTCTCGCTGAGGCCTAACCGGTGTTTTATATAAAGGTTCATCATAACTTCCTGACTTGTATTCTATGCCCCTATTTATAAAGCCCAGTATCCCGTATGCTTTTTAACAGCTTTAACTACCTGTCCTGCCATCTTCAAAGATTTACTTATATGAATCCCCAGGTCTCTCTGTTCCTTCACCCCCTTTAAGATTGTACCATCGGCTTATATTGCTTCTCCTCATTCTTCCTCCCAAAATACATCGCTTTGCATTTCTCCACATTAAACTTCAGTGGCATGTTTCAGTGCAGTGATGGAATGGAAATCGAGCAACACTGCTGCTAAGGATAAGATTTCCCTATGAAGCGTATCACACCGTTCCATTATAACCAAGCCTGCGTACTGTACATGGACAGACAGACACCCATACTCCGCTAGATAGCACGCAAATCTATAGTAAGAGTACTTACAATAGCACTGTTGACAAAAGCTGTGTGAAGGAAAACAGCAGTTAATCTGCTGAAAGCATTTGTATATTTTTACAAAGCTCATTTCATGCTTAAACATAACCGCAGTAAACTTGTCAGAAATGCCTTGACTGATGTAAACATCCCGTAGATAAAAGATAACCAGTAGCATTTCTACCACTGTTTCACTTACGCAATGGTGTTATTTATATCAGATATCAGTTAAACGCATCAAATAAACAATTGTAAAACACACCAACATTGCCCTCGGGCAACAGAGCTGGAATTGAAAGAGCACAGGGAACGAAGACCACATTTTCCTTACCTTGGTTTGTGAGAGGAACGGAGGTTGACCACAAACAATTCCACAGGGCGGGCATGTGCTATCATCAAACTGACGTCTTATTTCATATTTCCCAGGTCCTGGAAAATCCTATAATAATATCGACGAGACACAAAATTAAAAACCGGCATCACATCTACAAGCTTTGGATGTTTTTTTTCTCTCTCTCCTCGTGATCTCCCTAGCTCCGCCATCCATAAAATACCTTATCCAAAACTCCTTTTAAAAAATGTTTGGTCACTCAACACACGACTGTTTGTGGGGACGCTGCTGTGCGCAATTGCCCACAAAATACACAGTCGATTTGCTTTACAGTGTATTCTGTGAAGCCCTTTGAGACTTCTCGAAGATAAGGCGCTATATCAAATGTAAGGATTATTATTATTATTATTATTGAGTACTCCCTTAAAATTCGATCACAGCTACAATCACTTCCCCTCCTCCCTACTCTCCCCTCTCCTGAGCCCAATCCCATCACTTGGGCTCTGTGAATGAAAGTTCAGCTCTGAGAGGTTATCACGTTTGAGGGACGTTACGTAAATGTTTGTCGTTTTGCAATTCCCACCTTCAGAGTTGTTTCTTCATCCCAGACAACAAGATTTGAAGAACATAATGATATTCATGCAATCCATATATCTTTAACTGTCAAAGCTAAATTTGAGGAATCAACACGAGGAATTTCCATCTCCTTGTCTTATCACCCATGTTTCCAAGATATTATCGAATTATTACATGTCTCCAAAAGGCCAATATATATGGAAGGAGAGGGGAGGAAATAGTGCGTGGCATTGGTTCCTTCCTTTGGTTTAGACGTTACACCAGTCTCATCTACCTGTGTTGGTGCATGGATATTAAAAATCTCCCGGCACTATTCCTCATGCACGAAAATAATACACCTTAATTGGCCATTCATCTCATTACTGTCTGTGGCATGTTGTTGCCACAGATGTGCTGCCATGTTTGCTTATGTAACTACAGGCATTTACTTTCAAATTATTCCATTATGTGAAACAGTTTGACATGATAAGGTGCCTTAGCACATTGGACACTTGTTACTGAAGCCTCGCCCGGATTTGAGGAAAGTTTGCGCTGACGGGTACTGATTAATAATGGTTATTAATTTGCTGACAAGTACTTAATCGCTTTGCAATACTAACAAGTCAATATAGCAGTTACTGCATTCCTAGAACTACCAGGTTTCTGCATCGGTGTTGCATACAATACAATTTAGACAGTTTACATTTATACAGTGCCTGTCACACTGGGAGGACATCTGAAAGGGCCTGCTTCAAAGTCAGCTCCAACCTACCAGCTGTGGTCCCTGCTGATGTACATCTATATATGTAAAAAAAACTTTAAAATAATACTGTGACAAAGCTAAAGATGGATGGCGCAGGAAAAAGAAACAGGAGTACACGACTCGGAAACAGGAGAGTAAACATTAATAGTAATGAAAGTCATGTCAGGGAGGTTAGAAGAGCTGCCAAAAAGATATGTTGCAATGAGCACTGAGATTAGAAACCGGGAGTCATTTAGACTGACGGGCCGCGGAGTTGATGTGTAGATAAGCACCAGTCCCTGGTGTGACATAGTATATGTCACCGGGGTCAAGGCAGTGCTATTAGGCTACATATGGCATCACCGCATTCGGGTTGTCCAGAGTACAATCAATGATGATAAGTGAGGCATGACATTCTTCGGGGTACCATTGAATGTCAACAATTGACCTCACGGGGCTTATAGCTGAGCACAGATTCCCTGCACAATGAAAACACATATGGACTCCCTGAGAACACGAGAGACAAGTAGGGTCTTCTTGACATATGGCTCTTCGGAGTCGTCGGTCAAAATCACTGACAGCGGAGCACGGCCCAGGGTATCCCTTGTGGAAAACAACGCGATTCAGAAGAGCCGCAATAAATCCACAGACTGTCCGGTTCATAAGGGTTGGCTCGCAGCGTTACCAATGATGCATGTCACGGAGCTAATGGCAAGAGCGCCACTGGCTTGAAGAACAGAAGCAAAACGTTACAATAACGAGCACAAGTCCGTACTTCGACAACAAAGGGCCCGGCAGAAAAATAGAACGCCTTGTTGCCTTATTATTACATCTTACTTTGTCGAAATCCACGCCGAGATTTGGTGCTGAAGTATTTGTACGCAAATGTGGTAGCAATTTCACCGGCAAGGTCCCACATCCAGTTATGGGAGGGAGAATTCATTGGTTACGACAGCAGGAAAAATTCCTTTCCCTTTTTTCTTCCGTTTGAAATAGTCTCATAGAAGAACAGCAACGACAAATTACATTTATACAGGAAGGAAGGAGCAAGGCCATGGAGGGCTTTGAAGGATTTTGGACGAGGGTTTCGAACTCGATCCTCTGGGGGACGGGGAGCCAGTGGAACCGGGTGAGGGTGGGTGCGATAGGGTCACGGAGCCTGGTGCGGGAAACTTCAATGCTCAGTTGAAGAAGGGCACTGATCCAAAGGATGGCACTTCTGGCAATGCAGTGCTTCCACCAATACTCTACTGGAGTGTCATCTTAGACCAGAGGTTCCAGAGGCGTGTGCCAGGGGAGGTGCTAGTTGAATACCTTCCAATAGTCCCCCGGGTCTCGCGTGATGGCCCCTGCGTCCCAGCAAAGCCACACCGCGGGGAAGGGAGGGGAGAGAGAGAGACATCCAGACTGATTGACAGGGGTGGAGATCCATGGTACCCCCCCAGTCTGAATCAGGTCACCAATCGGAGTGCAAGCAGGGAGGGAGAGGACAGGACAGTGAGATAAGAAGAAAGGTGCTTTCCGAAACAGAATCAGTACTTTTGATACTTCTACTTTATTGCATTTTATTCTTGCAAAGGACTGATAGGATCTTCAGTTCTTTGTGGTGCCTCAGTAAATTATGCGGAGGAAGAATTGAGTTTTTTCTTAGCTTAGGGAAGCTCTCTGTGATAAAGATTAAGAATCCCTGGCCTAGACTAAGAGTTCTCAACACTCAAAGTAAGGCTCGAACCCACAATCTTCTGACTCATTTCAATGTTGATGACATTTACACATTCTGGGACTTGATAAACAACAACAACAGCCTGTATTTATAGAGCACTCTTCACTGCCGTGTGACGTCTCGGAGCGCTTAACAATGGCACAGTCTGATGAGGAGTTGGGGAGAAAAGGGAGACGACCACAGGAACGGTTGAGGACAAAAGTCTTCAGGTGGGATCTGAAGACGGACAAAGAGGGGCCAAGGTGGATTGGGGCGGAGAGCATCTGCGTGCTTCACAGGCCGACAGAAGTTTTTGAACCTTTTGAACTGATATCTGGAACAAGCAAATACAAATGTGATTTTTTTTTCCTTTAAAAAAAATATAAACGCAATCACAACCTTTATAAAGCGTATTGCACAAGCCTTGTTGGTGTGCAGGAATGGTTATCTGATCTAGCGCAATATTGGAGACCTTGTTTGCTCTGTCCTCCAACCTTGGCCTCAAATCGTCACAACAACTGCATTGTTTACCGAACAAATAAAATAATACATCCACTGAGGATCAGCAGTAAAATTAATAGACCTAGAGTTTTTTTTGTGTACCAAGAAATAGAATGCCATATCAAAAACATATTTATTACGTGTGGAAGAAAAATGAGGCTTTCGACTGCTTCTATCAACAAAAGCAACTTGTATTTATATTACCCCGTCATGTTTCAATCAACAGCTCAACCCAAAATCATTGAAAACCACCACAAAACATGAAGGAAATGGGATTGGTTTCACTGACATTGGCCCAGTGTCTGACCTATATTTCGCCCCCACAAAATATACAGTCAATTCACTTTACTTTACCTTATATTCTGTGAAGCGCTTTGAGACGTCTCGAAGACGTGATAAGGCGCTATATCAAATGCAACAATTATTATTATTATTATTTGCTTCCAGTCAGCACCACACGTCAGTATGGTATCTCAGTGAGGGTTCCTACGCAGCAAGGGGCAACACAAATACAAGCGATCATTTCACACACCAACGAAGTTTGCACTCCGCTGCCTTTTCAAGCACACGAGCGGCTATCTCTCTCTGAATTATTTTGGAAATTTAACTAGGCATTTCAGATCCTTCTTTCAGATCAATTTGTTTAATCAATCCAGGGGTTTGGAAGGAATTAGATACCTTTCCGTTGACTAAAATGATTCAGGGTTTCTTAAATAATCAAATGAAACTTATGGGAAATTGGATCAATAAACCGATGTTGTGCTTCAACCTGAAATTGTTAGTCTCAACTCACAATAGCTCTGTGACATGTAACCATTTTATGGATGACAGCAATAGCTCCCACAGCATAAACCCATGCTTTCACCAGGGATTCCCCTGAATCTTATTTGGAACCGCAAACTCTGATGAAATATAATACAATATGCATTTATGTAGCGCCTTTGATGCTGGGACGACATCTTAAAGTATTTTTGCAGAGCTGGCTGGGCACCCAAGTTAGGGGTGGGAACCGAATGGGGTGAGGAGGGAAAAGGTGACCAAAAGCTTGGTCTAAGTGCAAGCAAAGTGTCCAAGCCAAGGTCTCGCAACTTTGCACGTTGTACGAGGAGAAAATGCTCTTTTGCGAAAAGGATGTGTTTGCCAGAGTGCTATTTCGGACACACTGCACTACCCTATTATGTTCCATTCTATTATGATGAAGCGCCAAGGTTATGACCATTGTAGGAAGTGTTCAAAACTTGCACGAAGATCTTTTGTCCTCTCTTTAAGAAAGAACGCAAGCGAGCACGGCAAGAGAAAACGCTATTCAACCCATGGCAGCAAACTTACTAAGTAGACACATGTTTAGCAAGCATTTTAAGTCTGAATTAAATCATGCGTGGGGCGGGAATGAAGGAGAATGAAGTAAAAGAAAGGTAAAGTCAGTGTGGGTTGACTAAGACATTTACGGAAGTCATGGAAAAGGCAAACGCTTACAAATTATTGAAACATTTCAGAAATAAATAGAATAGGGAGGTTTAATAAGAATAGAGACTCATATGGAGCAAACACTAGTTGGTTGATGCTGTTTTCATGCTGTACTTTTTATATAAATCTATATAAGAGTGG